AGGGTAGATTCTTTGTGAGGATTTTCAAGGCTCTCTACAATAAAATTATACAAGAAAATAACGTCATCCCCAAATTTGAGTCCATGTCATTAATTAATACATTATGTTGAAGTAATAACAATAAAATCATATGGATTAATATAGAAAATGCTGACTGTGTAAGATACTACAGAGGCCAACATGTACAGTAGAGAACATCTAAAATTACTTAGAGTCCGTGCTTTAGGTAAAATTATGAGATTCAACAACAACAAACTCCAAGACCAAAAAATTCACATGTAAGTGAATTTATTTAATGTGTAGATAATGTGATTTTGAATCCTGAGGTAAAGTTAGAGTCACTGCTGAGGCTGCTAGATTCTGGGAGGGGGAAATCAAAACTGACAGAGAGGACAGCAAACCCAGAGAGCAGAGAGATTAAATACCAAATGTGTGCAAGGGTTTCACAAGCATTCACTACTTGCCAACTTCTCTAACATATTAAAATACACAGGAACCTGAGAGTTCATTTAAAGAATTACATTTTGGAAAATCCCCTTTCTTACATAAGATAGCTTTAGATGTAAAACCAGTACAGGTGCTGTGCAACTCTCTGTATGCACTGCCATGGGAAACTTCTTCTGTTTGATGAAAAAAGCAGTTAGAACTCAAGGCCAAGATACCAATCTCAAAAGTGTTGAGAATCTGTTAAAGAAAAATAATCCAATAAATTTACTTTGTCTACTCTCTATCTGTATCCTAGATTATACCTACATCTTTATAGATCCTTATATTAAATACAGAGTGTCCAAAGACCCTAATTCAGTCATAACCTCTGTTCAAATTATAATGGTGAGCACAGTAGAGAGAAAAAAAGAATAAAAACAGAAACAATGGAAACATTTTCTAAAAAAAACTCAGCATACAAGGGAGGAGAGTTACAAATGTGAAGGTCAAGGTTGTAATTAAAAATGAAATAAAATATATTTAAATAGCTAGAAATTACAGGCTGTCATTATATGGAGTGACAAGTCAGAAGAATTCTCAGCATTAAGAAAATCCAAGTAATGTAGGTACTGCAGAACAAGAGCAATGTAAGCAGCTCTCTGTGGCTAATTGGCTAAGGCTCTGTGCAACGTGAAAGCAACGAAATGGTTTCTTAATGAGACCTGGCCTCTTAATAAGAATTGAGATCTGCCTTTCCAGACAGAATAAATCTTACTGGATCTAAGTGGTTTCAGGGATAACCCCACCAACTCCTTATTGACAGGACAGGAATTTCACAAGCTAGGGGAAAAAAACCCCAGTTCACTAATAAAGGAGTAACAAATTAATTAACCACAGGAAAAAAAAATTAGGGGTTGGCATAATTAGAAGATCAGCATTTTTGATCACTGTGAAACTCAAGAGCAGACAATTGCTAAAAGATTTTGTGTGGTTCAAACATGAAAGAACTCAGGGAAAGCTGCAATTGCCAGTGAAACTCTTCTCACCTTTCAATCACTGATGCTCTAAAAAAAGGGATATCTTTCTCCTTATTGAAAGAATACTTTAATTCATCTAACCCTGTGGAGATCTTTGTGTCTGAAGATGCTTTTCGTAACAGATAAACAATTCATCAAAATAAATTTGCTTTGTGAAAACTAAGAGGAGGTTTTCAAGAATCCTAAATTGTTAATGCCATCTTCTGGCAAAAAAAAGGCAGAAGACTTTTAGTCTTGTAACAGCCAGCATTTCCTCAGTTATTTGTTTGTTCATTCATGAGAATAACATGTCATGGGGCAGAAAAACATACCATTCTTTACTGTGGTATTTTCATACCAAAACCTAGGTCTTGCTCCCCACAAAGATATGGGTAGCTTCACTGAAAACAGGGTTGACATAAAGGACTAGGACTTCTTGAAATAGTTGGATACAACATACTCTGAGAAAGAGGTGAGTGTGGAGGTATAATTCTCCACGTGCACCCAGCCTGACACCTCTGTGTGACAAACATGAGTTCTCTACAACTTGTTTCTTATGCCAAGATGTCTTACAAAGATTTTAAAAGGCTTCCAGATGCTGGTAATGTGTAAGTGCTTATTGTAAAAAAGCATTAGAATTATATATAAAAGAGACCAACTTAGCCATAGAATTAGAATGCAGTTTGTCATAAGAGAAATCTTCCTCAGCTTCAGTATAAGAGGTTTTTCAAAGGTCATAAAGCTGATGAGAAACAGAAAAGTCAGGTGTAAATAATAGGAAGGAGTGGTTACATTTTTCTGTCCTGAAGGAAATTAACTTACAACAAAATTATGCTCTAAGAGCTGACGCTCCATTTTAAAATGCTTTTAATTATTAATTACCTCTTTCACAAGATCTTTTCCTTCTCAATGCACTTTTCAAGGTGGAGGAAAAGTCTTCGAAGCTGCTCGATGAGTGTCAATCACTGTGTATAAAATAAATTATGAAAAAGCCCCATAGAGATTATTTTAAGAATAAAGCAGCCTTGACCCACTATACCTTGATCATTATTAACTTCTGATTTATTAAACATCTCAGCACCCCATTCACTTGAGTAACCCTCATATGTCCTGTTACCCCACTGTAGCTCACTCATTTTCACATGACAATTTTAGACAATTTAGAGTGTCAATTTTAGATTTAGATGATTTTCTGAGTGTCACCACTGAGAGAGAACACAAGTGTCATTATATCTATTCTTCAAATTAGGAAAATAAAGTGAACAAATCTTAAGTGACATTCCTACAGATGCAAATGATACATTTTGTCCTGCACATAGGCTAAGGTAATCACTCTGAATAACAAAACCTGGCCTGGTTATGAAATAATTTTATAAGTCACGATTTTCAAGGGTATTTGATAAACATAGAAATTGTTAATCAGCATACAAAACATAAATACCACCTTGTTTTCTGTGTAAGCCATTGTCTTCTACAAGTACCTTACAAAAATAAAACTTAAGAGCTTGAAAAGTTTGTAAATGTGTGTAGCAGGTGGGTGCTTTCTCCTGATAGCAACTACAGCAGCAATGGTCTACACTGTACTTGTTACTTGCAGCCATTTTACCCCAAAAAAGACTTCAGCACTTCATCACAGGTTCTACTCATGCCAAAGAATTTCCAGGTTTCTTGAAATACAGAAGCAAAGAATGAACAGGGAAAAGGCAAAAGGTATTAATTCTTGTCACTACCCATCCATCTTCATTCCTTATTAATTTGAACATTAAGCTCTTTTTTTAAGGTGATCCAAAGCCAAATCTGATTTAACCCTCCAGAAGTGAATGGCTAATTTGCTTTCCCAGAGCACCACACAGAATGCTTTACCTTTAATCATTCTGACCCCATTCCTTGGGAATTAGGGCTTTCCTGTGAAGAACAGGGTCAAACTGCAGCTGCACTTTTTTAAGACAAGCTCCATAACAAGAGAGACTCTGTGCTGTAAAATGAGCCCAAAATTTTAGCTTAATGCAAAAGGTGGGGCTCTGTGAAGCCGTGGTTGACGTTGCAGCAGATCCCTCTGGAAGATCATAGGATTACTCTACCCTGCATGTAAACAACAGGGCATTAAACATTCCACTGCTCCTTGGAACAAGTGCTCAGCTGTTTTGAGGCTGGACACTGACATAGATAACCACTTACAGCTTCAGTACAGCAAAAGTAACTGGAGAGGAGGGAATGGTTTTAATGCTAAATGGTTTTAAAGCTATTTTACAGCTGGAGCTTGACACAGGTCTGCTGCTTGCAGCAAGTAAGAAACGGGGGTTTCCTTTGCCACTGACATATCTTGAGGAAGTTACTAAAACAATTAATGTCATTAAAACTGCCTTACAAACAACTCAATATTAGAGATTTTCTTGTTTCCCCAGGAAGCACTTCAGACTATCGTGTTGCTCTGTCCATACTAACTAATGTCACTAAAACTGGCTGACAAACAAACAAATATTGGAGATTTTTTTGTTTCCCCACAAAGCATGTCAGAGTATTTTATTCCTCTCTCCATACTAATTATAGCCTGGTGATCTCAGCAGAAGAGGCTCCATCCTGCAGCTGATCCCAACAGCTGCCAGGAACAGCTGCATGGAGAAGGGGAAGTGTCCAATATTGGGATACTGAATATTGGAAGTGTCCAGTATTCAACCATGTGCCGAGAAAATAACCCACGAGTCACGGCAAAGTGCCAATTATTTGAAAATCCTGCCTGAGCTCATCCTCCCAGCAGGGTCTCCCAAATGTCCCTCAGGGTTTCTTTAATAATTTCAAAGTTTTACTTAAGTTTAAAAACATACAAACATAAAAAATATATTTCGTAGGTATTATATAAAAGATATTAAAATATATTTTAAATAATAATTAAGTATTTTATATATTTTACATAATGTATATAAATATGTATTTTTAATTGCACTTACATATTTTACATGTAATACAAATTGTGTGCTATCTGTAAAATATAAAAGACACATAATTGAAAAATATTTTATAACTACAAAAATGTAGCTAAACAAACCGCCACGCGTCCGGACTTGCACCGCGTGTCTGAAGGGGGGACATGTCTCATCCTTCCCGGAGCTGTCCCACCACGACTTTTCCCCGTGTAGAGCCCGGTGGGGCCGGCCAGGGCGATGTCCCTAGAGCCCTTCCCGACCCAGCAGTCCCCGTCCCCTCAGGGCTGGGGTCCCCCCTCACTCACCGGCCGCGGCGCCGCTCGGCGGCGGCCATTAAGCCGCGTCTCCATGGCAACAACGCTTTTCCCGCTTCAAACGCCCGCGCGCAGCCTCGTGCGCACAGCCAGCCAATAGAGAGTGGGGAGAGGGGCGGGCAGGGCACTTCCCGGCCGCGAGAGGCCAATCCGAGGCCTTCTCGGGCATGGGGGCGGGGCCTGAGGGAAGGCTGGAGGGCGGGACGAGAAGGGAGTGGCTACCGGCCTAGGCGCTGCCGCTGCAATTGGTTAATGCCGACGCCAATCATGCGCCGGGTCCCGCCCACTGCCGGACCCGGAAGCAGAGGTGAGGGCGGGGGTTCATGGAGGCCGCTGTGGCGGTCCCGGTGTCCCCATCCCTGGGGATCCCGGTCTCCCCATCCCTGGGCACGGGAGTGACCGTCTGCGGGCGGCGAGGAGAGGGCAGGGCGGCGGGCCGCGTGCCGCCAGGCGGCGGGGCCCCGCTGGGATTTGTCCTTCTCCTTCCAGGCGCGCTCGGGAGGTGGTGCTGGTGCCCCGGGCTGGCCGCGGGGCTGAGGGGCCGCAGCGGGGCTGTTGTCCTTGTTGTGGCGGAGCTAAAGGAGATAGGCAGGAGCTGAAGGAAGTGGTTGGGCAAAAGCGCTGCCCGTCGTCCAGGGGCGCGGCTGGCGGCTCCGTGCTCTGGTTCCCCGTGCTGGAAGCTGGAGGTGTCACGGTGCCGCTCTTGGCGCCCCAGGAAAATACGGTGTTCTGTAAAGTTATTTACTGAACTATGCGTCTCTGTCAGAATGCAAGGCTTTGCCCGGAGCTGGGAATCGTAGCATGGCTTACTCATCTCCATTGCTTCTTTTTCTCTGTAGGACTGTTCATGCTGGCTGCGTAGCTTATTGCTGACAATATTTATCACTGAAGAGGTGTGTTCCTTATTGTTTACAACAAATCAGTGCTTAACACGCGTGCTAAGAAACTTTTAGTTTTGTATGACAGCCTTATGTCTAGGTGAGACAGCAGAGAGCCTGTCCTTTGTCATTCATTCTCAGCTTTGCCCCGATATCCTGAGAAGTCCTGTGCTCCAGGCAAATGTCCAGAGCAATTATTTCCATATGCCAGTTCTAGTAATGGTGAGGTATTACCTCTGCACAGGGCCTTTGCACTGGAAAAGTTTCAGAGTGTTAATCTGTGGCTTTCCTTTTGCTTTGTAATTTTTTTTCCCCTCCCTGCAATATGGTTTGTAATTTATCAACAGCAAAGACATGACATGCAGGTCATTTTTCATGCTTCTTGATAACAAAGGAAATTGTTCTTACAATTCAAAGGTAGCTAATAATATACAATTTAATTCTGTAGTAACTTCAGAGGGGTGGGCAGCTTTTTTACTGTGCTGAGCCATCTGTTTGCTGGCTAAATACAGCTGGTGTGTTCGAGCCCCATGTTTTGTGCTGTTCCACAGCTCCTGGTGCAGGTGGCAGAGGGGAATGGCTGTGAGAGCTTGTGGCTTGATCATCTACAGGAGGCTGCAGCCAGCACCAGCCTCTAAGGTCACTGACAGCATCGAGTACCTCCTGCTTCAGACATCCTACGGGACCCACCACTGGACCCCGCCCAAAGGTGATTTTTCTGCTGGTAACACTCCTGGAGGTCATTGGTGTCAGGCTGCAGAGAGGATTTTGGCTGAGGTCAGTTTAGAGGGGCAGTTACCCCCTGAGACTAGCTGCTGGCTGTGCTGTTTGTCTGGTGGTGCTCCTGACACAGCTGAGGGGGCAGTTTTGAGGCTGAAATCCTCTGCAGGTTGTGGCTGTACAAAATGTTGGGCACAACTGATCTGGGCTGGGGCAAGGGCTGTCACCCAGCTGAGCTCCTCAGGTATCTGATGCTTCTGGCAAGATGTGCACACCACTGGAGTGAGGTAATGAGGGGGTGTTGTGCCTTCTTGTCTTGGGTCTGATCCTTTGCCAAGCACCTGCAATGCTGCCAGTGCAGGATTGTTTGATCAGAGGCTGCAGGACTCTGTGATCAGAGGCTGCAGGACTGTTGTCACAGTCTGCAGGAAGGCAAACTGGAATCTGTAATAGAACACTTGAATGCACCCTTCTTAGGAGATGCAGATGCATTGATGAAGATCACTAGCCTAATGCAATAGGGATGAGAGGGACAGATAGGAGAATTAACCTTACCAGTTGTTCTTGGTCATCAGTGAGGCCTCAGAGCAGAAAACAAGCCCTGTGTCCCAGGACAGAGTAGCACCTCCTCTGTAAAGGCATGTGGCAGAGCCACTGTTTAGTAATACACAGTCACAGCCCTGGTACCAGGAAAAGTGCAGCACAGAAAGTACTTCAGGTTCCCTGTAGATCTTCTTGCATGCTGTTTTTTACCACCTGAGATTTTTTTCCTGATAGTTTTTGCTTCTTATTTTGTAAAATGTGTCACTTTCAAAGCATGGTGCAGCAGTTTATAAACAAGAACTTGCAAATTGGAGGGGAAAAAAAATATTTTAACAGTGTCAGCTAGGCTCTTCTATTGAGGGAAAGAACAAAACTTTCCAAACCTCCCCCTTTATCTATTCCACCAAGAGCCTAAGGGAGTTGAGTTTCCAGCCTAGTGGAAAGCTAAAAAACATCTGCTGGGACATGATTGATTGTTGTGAGAAGAAACCCTTGTCAAAGGATCCCTGGGAACACAGTAATTCTGGACAAAGTGATTTAAATTATTTATAGCCATTTTGGTAGGGAGCTAATTGTCTCAAGCATACATCTCACACACCTAGAGTCATGGAATAGTGTAGGTTGGGAGGGACTCTTAGAGGTTGTGTAGTCCAAGCCCCCACCAGTGGGCAGGAACATCCTCAACTAGAGCAGGCTGCTCGGAGTCCTGTCCAACCTGGATGTTTCCAGGGATGGGGCACTCACTGCTTCTCTGGGAGACTTGTGCCAGTATTTCACCACCCTCGCAGTAAAAGCAAGTCTTTCTTGTCTGTAGTCTTAGTCTGCCCTCTCCTAGATGAAAAGCAGGAGCCCTTCTCAAAAGTCTGTCCCCAATTTTCTTACAAACCACCACCCTTTAGGCACCAGAAGGGGCTCTAAGGTCCCCCCAGAGCCTTCTCGTCTGCAGACTGAACAGCCCCAACTCTCTCATCCTGTCTCCAAAGCAGAGGTGCTCCACTCCCTGACTATATTCATGGCTTCCTCTGAATTCAGTCCAGCAGGTGAATGTCCTTCCCTTGCTGAGGACTCTGGAGATTGATGCAGCATTGCAGGTGGGGTCACACCAGAGCAGAGGAGGAGAATCACCTCCCTCAACACACTGCTTCAGATTTTAGAGATCAAAGACCACAATCTGATGTTGGCCTGTAATAGAAGCTTGGTGTTGATTTGGGAGAATTTAATGAAGAGAAGCTATTCCATTTTACAGTATCTGTGACAGGAGTGGTCTTCCAGGGTGACCCTGGGATGTGCAGTGTGGTGACATGTGTGTGATGTTGACATAGATTCCATGGGGCAGGAGCCAGAAGGAGAAGTTGTAGTTGTCTCTCAAAGCACACACAAAAGGCAGTTTACAACTATACCTGTAACTTGTTATTTTAAAAGTTCTCTAAACTGCTGCAACTCTTATGGGATTAAACTGGGCTTGCTTGGATCCCCTCACATGAACCTCATCAGCCCTATCTCTGCCCCTTGAACTGTGACTTTGCTCTAGCTGAGGCTGATAGGAAGGGGATGTAGGGTTTATTTTCCCTCTCAATCTATTAGAACTGCATCAGTGGGAACAGGTGGGAGGATCTGAAAGCTGTGATGTGTGAGGTGCTGCCTGCAGTCCTTTTTCTGCTCTGCAGGTAGACTGTACTGCACAAACATAGCAACTTACTGAGCTTAGACCTGAGGTTATCAACAGGCATCAACAGGTATCAACATCAGATGGTGTTTTCTGCACAGTGGCTGCTTGAAAGAAAAGGGTATTTTATGTTTGAGGTAATGTCATGTTGTAAGAGGTGTTCACACTTTTGATTCACAGACAGGGAGGTGAGTTGGACCTGTTGCAAAGGCAAAACAAACTTTTTGTGGTACTAAAAGGGCTCTTTGGGTATCTGAGACCTCAGAAACAATTAATCTCTGTGATGAAGTTATAGCTATTTGGAGCCAGCTACATAGAAAATAGAGAGATACCAGGGACAAAATAGAGCTTAAACTTTTTTTACCTCCCAAAATGTCCCAGCTCCTGCTATGTTACTTTTTTGAGTTATTGCTTGGCTTGTTCTATTTATATTCTGGTCCGGAGCTTTCATGAGAAAACCAAATCTGACATTTCTCAACAAAAGTACAAACGGCTGGGGATGTGTTATATTTATCCTTTGTTTGTAGTGGCACCTCTCGTTCTGAGCAGCATAAAATAAATGGTGTGTCCTAGAAGAACTACCCAGCTGGTGAAAGGACTGGCTTTTAGACTTGTTGCTTGTTTTAGAGGGGAGTATGGAAGAGAAAAAATCCCTGGCTGCCTAAATGAAATGCACCTTTTAAATGGTACATGTCTGTGCCTGGTCCTGTTGTTTCTGGGCTGTTGGCACAACTAAGAGTTTTGCAGAATTGAGCCTTAAGCTTATATTAGAGGACATGGTTGAGAGAGGATTAAGACTCTCAGATGACCTGTGTCTGCTCTAACTGGATGAAAGAAAAATGAGGGACTCAGTCCTCAGTATAATCTAAGGTGGAACTTTGTGGGTGTAGAGTACTCGAAAAGTGGAGAGGAGGAGTGAGAAGAAAAGATGTCTGATGCTGAGAGGGTAATGGAAGTTTCAGGAGGTGAGGGATAAACAGTGATCCTAAAAGCCACAAGACAAAGATAAATCAAGACATAAGATGTAGAAAAGCAGTCTGTCTTCTCCAGTTTCCATTTCATCCTGTGTCAGCTACCATGTACTCTCATTTCTGCCTCCCAGTGTTTCCTGATTAAAGCAAAACGGGAGTTTCCTTCCCAGAGATTCACTTTTCCACCCTCTTGGCAGGCCACGTGGACCCTGGGGAGGATGACCTGCAGACAGCCTTCCGGGAAACACAGGAGGAGGCTGGTCTGCAGGCCAGCCAGCTCACCCTCATCGAGGGCTACAGGAAAGAGCTGCACTACCCTGTCCATGGCAAGCCCAAGACCGTCGTGTACTGGCTGGCAGAAATGAAGGACTGCAACACAGAAATCAAGCTGTCGGAGGAGCACCAGGCTTTCCAGTGGCTGAAGCTGGAGGATGCTTGCAAATTTGCAGAATACGAGGACATGCAAGCAATGCTGAAAGAAGTGCATCAGTTTCTCTGCTCCAGAGAATAAGTGGTTTTGTGAAGTATAAGGGGATTTCTTGAGACAGGTGTGCTTTTTATGTTTTAAACTGGAGGAGAATTATATGGCTGCAGAAATGTAGATTTCTTTTTTTTTTTTTTTTTTTTTTTTAATCTGTAGAAATTCAGTGAGGATACATGGAGCTTTTAAAGAGATTGTGCTTTTGTCTCTCCTAGCTAGCACAAAAAGTGTAGTCTGATTGAACCATATGCCAGAGACGTCTGAATTGAAGCCCAGAGCTAACAAAAGACTTCCTCTGTCTCTGTCTCCTTTTCTTTTTCTTTTCCCCCCTGCTTTCTTTTTCTTCCTTGAAGTGCTGAACAACCACAAGTCTTTTTGAAAAATCAAACACTTGATACATCTTGACTTGCTGATGTAAAGCTAGAGTTGAGAAAATGAGCATATGGGGATTTTTAATAATGAAACGCTTACTGCAGAAGTCATACCTTGAATTTCAAATGAGGAAGCAGTAGTTCTATTCCCAACTCTTCCAGTGATAATGCAATGATAACTTGTCAGATCATTTCAGGTCTTTCTTTTTGTATCATGAATTTATGTACATCCATAATGTACTGTTGCAAGAACATTTTCCATCCAGACAGTCTTAGTAAATGGTTGAGGTGTGGTATTTAAGTGGTAAATTGAAGCTCTTTTGGCTCTTTCTGTTAGTTTTTTGATCTTTAACAGACCCCTTGGCCATAGATTTTCCAGGGGGTTGGGAAAGGGTATTTAATCCACTTTCTGCCCAGGATGTCCAAGCTTATGTGCAATCTTGTGTCTGTTTCATCCTATCAGTACTTCTATGGCTGCACCCACTCATCTTTTGGGGCAGCAGACATTACTAATGTTGGTATCAGTGTATTAGGAGTCTCTTGCTTGTCACTGCTTTATCTTCCAGTGGAGTGATTTAAAATTGCATATATTTATACTTTCAAAGAAAGGGATGCAGTCTAAGGAGGATGTTATATATAAATATGTTGTATGTATACACATAAAAAACTTCAGTGCTCGTCCACATTACACTCAGGCTTTATTTTGATTATGAGCACTGCTCGGAAGTGTTTCACTCAGGTGGTGGCAGAGTGTAACAACCAGTGAGACTGGGAGAGAAGAGTTAAAAGCCTGTGCAGCCTCAGTCTTGGTTTTTCATTATTGTTTGAGGTACCATTTAATCAGTGCTGTGTAAACAATGGTGTTGCTGCCTTCCTGTTTATGAGCAAGATTAGCATATTAGGCTGGAGTTACAGAGTCATTAACAAGTCATCGGTTCTGCCCATTCAGCAGTGATGAACGCAGGCACTGGGTGCTTTGGAAAACACATTAGCTCAGCTCCAAGCCAATATTTCCTTTTTAATGGCACTGCTCACGTAGTGTTCCCAAAGCGTGTCAAGGTTTTGGAGGGTGGCTGGTGCTGTGCACTGTAAGGTGATGTGCTCCTTGGACAAAATTCCAAGGGGTGTAAATGAGATAACGGGTCAGGCGCTGTGTGTGCATTTTAAGTGATTTATGTACAGAATGCATTCCCACAAATTTTGTGAGTAAAATGATTCTTAAAGATTTTTTGATCCCAGAGTCTTTGAGTTTCATTTAAAGTAGAAATGTTGGAAAGTCAGAATTTAACTCTGATTCTTGCTGCTCACTGGTGAAGAAAGAGTTCTTCCTCAGCCCATGTCTAATAGTAAAATATTTTCCCAAGGAGCATCTGGGAAACCCTCCAGTAAATAATTATGGAATAATCTGCCTGGCAAAGATATTTATTTCCAACCTCTATGATATTTATGCCCTAAACCAATAGGGCTTGGTTGGGTTTTTTTTTTTTTAAGACCAGTTAAGTTTTTGGTTATAATAATATCTTATGACAGTAAACTTTTTAGCATTTAAAAAGAAAAATAATTTTAAAACCCTCAAAAACAAACAACCAGAGATTTTAAAATAATAAAAAAACCCCAGAGATTTTTAATTCCCTGGAGAGACCTTACTTCTGCTGTAGGTTAAATAAAACCAAACTCAAGAGAAATCCAAGCTACACTGAAACAGCAGAACAGCTTAATTTAGGTCAAGTGAAAGGCGTTGCTGCAGTAAGAGACGTGAGGATACGGTTTCCCTTGCTCTGCTGAACAAATGCACTGACACAGCTCATACTTGTCATTTCCTGGTGTTATTGTTTCTTTCTCCACATAACTCTTGACTTATAGCCATGATTACATCATCTCAGAATCAGAGAGAAAGAAAGCATACATTCATGAATATTAGGAAAGCACTAAGACATTGCAGATTTCACTGAGAAAAGATCAGGATTGAGTGTGATAGTTGCAGGTAATTTTGCTCAAACAAGAAGTGTAAAGGCTGAAAACAATGTCTTACTCCTATCTAAAAGAAAAAACAACTGTATTACTGCTCTGGTGGAGCAATGTATCTATTCATTGACTATTCCATACGATTATAGGAAATCAGAGACTGAAGCTGGAATAAAGTGGCTCTATATGCAATATCCCCAACAAGCATGACCAACATTTCTTGCCAGTCTATATAATAAAAGAGGATGTGTTATAATAAGGTTTAGTAGATCCTAAATATGGAGAAGTTCAGAGACACACCTACTCTCTCAGCAGGGCTCTTGCAGTGATGCAGAGATGAGAGTGGAGTGCTACATTTTAAGTTAGAAAAATGACTTGCTGATACTTAATTGACAACTTAGTGGGGATGAATATTTTGGCATATACCCAGAAGGGATTTTATAGAAGGCAGTGCTTGTTAATTACATTCTCACACTGACAATGTAACTGATGGCCTTCTGTGTCTATTGGCAGCTAGTTTTATCTTAAAAAGAATTTAAGGATCATTAGGATTTGTTTTTTACCTTTTGCCTTGTCTTCAAAGATTTACTTTTTCATATGCTCAGTAACTCTAATTTTGGTTCAATGGGCAGTTGCAGCTGGCAGAAGTCCCAGCTTCATTTAGGGAAACCTGGGGTTTTGTTATGGGTTAAAGCAGCTCTGAAATTGCTAAGCAGCATGTGTCTATACAAACCAAACAATCTACTCTGCTTGCTTCAACCTTGTCTTGTGCAAGAAGATTGTACTCAAGTGTTTAGAGAAAAACCCCAAACTCTGCTTCCTGTCAAAACAGCAAGGGTTGGGAGATCAGCTGTGGTGGCAGTCTTCCTGGTGGGAACAGTGACCCGGATGGAGCAAAAGCTCTGTCATTTTGGAGCTAGTCCACTTGGTAATTGATGTTGTCAAAAAGAGGAGTGACAGTCCCATCTTTCCACTCGATGAGGATCTCTCCACGCCTCAGGGAAGGGGAGCGGGATGGTGGGAGGTACGGCTGGGGGCCCCTTCGCAAGGGGGTCGGCTCCCGTAAATCAACTCTGCTGCTGTTGGCTGGAGAGCTCTTCAGAGCAGAGAGGATTTTCTTCTTCCTAACAGAAGAGAGAAGAGAGTAACTGCACCTGTCTGTCACTTGGTTGCTTCTCCACATCCGCAACTGTAATGTCACTTCAGTGATGGCACAAGATGTGTAGGGAAGGAGGAGCCAACATTAGTGGCTGCATTTGGGTGGGTCAGTGAGTGGGATGGATAAACTGGGTGGCAGAGAGGAGAAATCCCCAAGGGTGACACATTGGTGACCAGACCCATCTGCTGAGAGCCAGCGACATCAGGTGTGGAATGGGGAGAGATGCCAAGACCAAGACTTTTGTTTTGAGATGTTGGAGTTTTTCTTTAAGATGCTGTTCATGGCAAATGAACGTGACTCTCACTTACTTGTTGTAGTGAACATTGAGTGTCAGTATTATTAATCCCAGTATGAATGCCAAGGGGCTGAGGACCAGCATGGCTGTCTTCCAATTCGTGCCTGAAAGAGTATTAGAGAAAGCATCACATGTTTGCTGTTCTTATGCAATAGCCATGACTGCCACAAAAAATCCCCGTAATGTCCCTGAAAAATGCCAGATAACAGGAAAAGTGCTTTATCTACATGATTGACATCTTACAGCCTTACAGCTGCTTTTGCACTGCACAGCATCCTTCTATTGAAAGTGGCCACAAAAGTTTTTCTTTCTTGCTATGAAGAAAATAATATCTCATTCTTCTCCACTCTGCATCTTTCTGATACAAAATAAGAAGGGCTGGGAGAAAGCAGTAGTGTTAGCAGCTGTCTGATTTTCATGTTGTTACTATTTTTTTTTTTTTATCACGGGCCTGTGGAGATTTAAAAAGAGTCTTTCTGACAGGTAATTTTGTGCCCTCATTCCCTATTGAGCATCCTCAGCAGTACCTCAGGGAAATGTATCTCTGTCACGATGGGAAGGAGAGGGGCACTGATGAACCTTCATCTAGCTGGTCCCTTCCTCCTCTGGCTGATCCCTGGACCTACCTGCAAGCCTGGCCCCAGTGTTTTTCCCCCGATTTCCATGTTTCTTGGAGTGGTTGTGGGTTGGATCTAGTGGAAGAAGCAGAAAGACTCTGATTAGCAGCTTCAGTTGGACCAGGGGTCCAGATTCCTCATAAGGCTTCACTGTAACAACAAATCCCTTTTGTATGGGACCCAAAAAGGAAAAGGAAACTTTATTGTCACTTAGTGTTCCCCAGCCACAGATCATTTTTGCAACTAAAACAGTTGGTGGCTATTAACCTGGCTCCAGGTTAAGCCTGTATCGCTGAACTGCTTGCCAAGGGTAACTCAGCATGCTGGGTGAAAGCACTCAGTGGTACACATGGAAGTTCTTCAGAAATCCTCAGGTGCTCTTCCACCACTGAAAATAGCTGAGTAACCTCAGAGTGCTTTCCTTCCTGATGTTCTTATGCATTCAGAAAAGTGCTGCTCACCCTCATTTGCTGGGAGCTGTGCCTGTTTGGTCTTTGCAGGAGACACTGTGCTGTTGAACTTGTCAGCCAGAGGGGGGTCAGTTGAGCTCACAGAAGACTGTCTGTCCACAGCATCGATCTTTGATGAATCGATGGTTTTAGCTTGGAAGGAAATAAAGTAAAGATCTGTGTGATTATCATTTACTTTTTGTACAGGAGCCTGGATATGCTCATTGCCCAGCAAGGAGAAGGAACGAAACCCTGCTGGTTTGGTTCTCTGTCCTGCACAGCAAGAAGGATGTGGTGCAGTAGCAATCACCTCCTCCTGTGCATCAGGGGCTTTCAGCTGTCACAGATTTTAAAGGTGAAATGAGCCTCTCAAGATGGAATCAACAACCAAAGCAGAGGTTGTTTTCTGGTGGTAGATGTCAT